CAAGGTGAGTGGCTGCAACTGGTTTGGTGCTTTTTATAAAAGCCCCCAGTTTCTCAGTGGGAAGCACACACCACTAATACCGCTCTATGCTGCTGTCTGTGGGCTTCCAACCTGCCCCTTCACACTTCCACAATTGCTACCAGGCTTTATTTGGTGTTCCTGCTTGGGCTTGTTCTGTCCAGCTGCTCTTCAGTTGGCTTTTCCTGATGATTTGTCTTTAAAACCCCCACTTTCTCAACGGGAAGTGAACACTGCTAATACAGCTCTCTGCTGCTGTCCATGGGCTCCCCCATTTGTTCAGAAATTTAATCCCTACTGGTCTATACTGGAAGTCTCTCGTGGCAGAAAACCACTACATCTGTCTCTTTGTAATTGTCTTTATTCATCCTGACTCTGTTTCAGGGTGGCTCTATATCTCTGCCATACATTTCTCTGTACCTGCATATCTCTAATATTTCAGAAGGAAGGTTATCTTGAGACCGTAATGGCCTCTGCTACCACCTGGAGTTCTGACTAGTATGATTATCATTCCACCTGTATTTTAGTTGCCTGTAATGTGTTGCTAATCAGTGCCTAGAACTATATAACAAGTCAAAAATCCTATTCTACCTACTCTTACACCAAGGCACATACAGATCTTACTATTGTAGTCAAAAGATACCTGGTCCAAGACATACCAACAGAAAGAATTTCAAGGTTTTGAGCAACATAGATAAGAAAGAATGTCTTTCCTGATTCCTAGAATTAAATATATGAATGTTACCTTGAGACTTTTTCCTGACCCATCTTTCTTAGGCTTGAACAGTAGCCCCTGAACCATGGTCACATTTCAGGTATGAAAAAAAAAAAAAGAAGTTTAATAAGTATGGAGGGAGATTAAATGATCAAATTATATTTGGCTTATAATTCTTCCCATGTTGGTCACTGTTCATGTTTAAAGAAAAAAACAGGGCCAAGCAATGGAGTAATACTTAGAGTAGGCCAAGGCCTCAAACTTCATATAGTAATCTAATAAACTACCCTGGTTAGCCTTGGTATCCTTAAATCAAAGTAAACTGAATTTCCTATGCTCTTTCTGTGAAAAGTTCAATCTGTTTTTTTAACATTCCAAAATGAGAAAATGTCACAATTGTAAATGAGAAGTAAAAGATTATTCATGAACTATAAAAAGTAAAAATTATTACATCTTCATTGATAGATTTTTTTTTCAACAATGGGAATATTCACACTACTGCCTTTTAGACTACATGGTTTCTATGACATGGAATATTAATTTCATGAGAAGTTGGCTATTAATCTTGATCTTTCTGTGTTTAAACTATTTGCAGTTCATTTAAATTCTTGGATGTATAGATTAATATTTTTAATCAAATTTAAGAAAATTTTGGCCATTATTTCTTTACATATTTCTATTACATAAATGAGATCATAAGAGACTTTGTTTCATACAGTTATTAAGAAGTTTAATTATCTGTAAAGGGCACTTGCCCAGCAAATATTAAATAATAAATGTTGGGTTTTAGTAGAAGCATTATTGTTGCCTATTAATATCTTTATTTTACTCTTCTTCCACTGCAACAAAACCTTCCAGTGTTCCTGTTTCAGTAACTAACACCATCATTTATATATCTGTTCAACAGAGAAATCTGAGACTTGTCCTTAACTTCTTTTTTCAGGTTTTATCCCTAATCTAATCTATCTAAAACTCATGTACATCTTTCACTTTGTTTCAAAATGACTTCTTGGTACTTTATGCTAGGAGCAAACATTTTCTCTGGTGGCTGTTATATATTCCCCAGAAAACCAAATATCAAGTGCCCCTTGGGATGTATATCATAACGCACTGTGCACATCCCCCTTCAATGGAGTTGTTGCCCCCAGCCCCTGGGAGTGCTATGTTCAGACAACCCTCAGCTGTCATTATCTTCATGGATGCTTCAGCTGCAAAGAGCTTCCTCTCCCAAGGTGACACTTCTTCCCAGATGACCTGCATCCAGTCACTCAAAGATGCAGGAGTAAAATGTTTGGTCATCTCAATGCCACACAAACAACTTCAGGGCTTCCCATTGGGTCAGCTGAGGATGTCATTTGGCCTGCATCACAGCTTGATTTCTACCCCTCCCTATTCTTGATTTTTTTCTCACTTCCAAAGGTGTTGGCGCCAAGGGGACTCCACCTGCAACAGTTAACAGCAGGAGACGTTTGAAAAAATACACAATCAGATAGTTTCAGTAAGATCCGCATCACTGGTGCTAAGAGAATCATGATAGCCTCTGGCACAAAGTGATGGTCCAGTTGTAAAACCCTTTATCAGTTCTGAATTGGGATGATATACCAGAGGAACAGAATGCTCTGAGTGATGTGATATCAAGTGTTCTTAAAGGGGGAGGGGGGATAGCAACCATAAGAACAATGGAATTATGCATTATTGGTAAACTCCTTGTTTCATAGACTAAAAATCTTAGAGTTACGAGTAGGAAATTGAAAGCCAAGTGTGAAAGAGGAAGAGCCTCTTTGATAGCAGGTAATGAGCCTCTCATTCCCTGCAGTGAAGGACAAAGAAAACTGAGCACTAAGGCCAAGGTCTAATTTTCAGATTAGATGAACTCCAGAAAGATCAAACTCTCAACCAAGGCATATCTGCTCTGCCAAGATCACACCTCATGTTAGAAAAGAATGGTACCCTAATACAATATATGGAGACATATGACTTAATAACCCTCAAACCTTAAGTCCTCAGATTTCCCTGAACTCTGAGCTTACACAAGAGGTACCTCTTCCCTATTAAGAACTCACACTACTTTCTCTGAGGAAGAAAATACAGAGGCTCCCCTGCAAAACAACATAAACTCACTACAGCTGTTTCAGCAACCTATCAAGTACTCCTTTAGTAATCAGTGGAACACAGACCGACGATCGATGAGAACTGCAGCGTGCCTGCTGACTAGACCTAACTGACAGTGCGAGCGCGGTCCACACAGTACGAGCAGCACACAGCACGTTCACCAAGACACACCATTCACAACTTTAGAGAAGTGAAATAATTCAGAGTATTTTTCTGACAATCGTGAAGTTAAACTACAATTTAATAACATATATAACAGGAAACTTTCTAAACATTGAGAAATGAAGTAACATGCTTCTCTGCAACCCATCAGTCAAGATAGAAGTTGCAGAGAAAAATTTTTTTAAAACATTAAACTGAATGAAATGAAAATAAAATATATAAAAACTTGTGGAGAGCACCTAAAACAGTGTTTTAATGGAAATGTATAGTATTAAATACTTACATTAGAAATGAAGAAAGTTCTCAGTTCAATAATTGAAATTTCTACTTCAATAAATTAGGAAAATAAGAGCAAAATAAACTAAGAGCAAAGCACTTAAGTAAATAAAAATAAGAAAAGAAATAAGTGACACTGCAAACAAACACAATGGAGAAAAATCAGTGAATTCAAACAAAAACTAATTTTTTCAAAAATAATTAAAATTAATAAGCCTTTAACCAAAGTGACCATAAAGTAAAAATAGATGACACATACTAACCAAAGCAAATGCAAAATGATAATGCATAGTTTAAAATATCCAAAATAGAAAACTCCACACTTGGATAATTTCACTGATAAATTCTATCAAAAATTTAAAGAAGAAATAGCATCAATTCTTGTAAACTACAGCATAGGGAATATAGTCAATAATATTGTAATAACTATGTATGGTGCCAGGTGGGTACTGGAAATATCAGGGTAACATTTTGTCTAACCTCTATTCTATATACCTGAAACTAAGAGAAAATAATGTTGAATGTAAACAATGAAAAATAAAATTTTGAAAAACAAATAGCATCAATTCTACACAATTTCTTCCAGAATGTAGAAAAGGTGGGAGCATTTTCCAGTTCTCTTTATAAAATTATTATTGTACTGAGTATCAGTCAGAGAAAGGACAAGAAACCAATATCCCTTAAGAAAACAGAAATACAAATTCTCAAAATAGTTTAATATTTGAAAATCAATGAGTGTTACCTATGTACTAATAATATCAAGAAGAAAAACCACATATTTATATCCACATTTCATATCCATTTACATAAAAACTGTCTGCAGACTAGGGAAAGAAAGGAATTATCCCAACCTGATCAGTGGCATCTGCTTATATATATGAAGCCTACAGCAAACACAATGGTGAAAACTTAATGTTTCTCCCTAAGACTGAAAACAGAGCAAGGATGTTCATACTCAGCTCAGCCTTCTCTCAAAAAAGAAGAGTACATTCTTCTCCTCTCTTGATTCCCATGGTCTCTTGAACATATTTTAGTTGTAATGAATCATACTAGACAATAATTGTATCCATGTGGTTTTTATTTTTCATGAAGTGTCCATGTTACTGGCAAGGGCATGCTGCTTCCTCACAGTGATAGGAAAACTTGTTCATGTCTATCGTTTCAAAAATTAAGCAAGTCAATGTTCACAAGAATTCAGGAAATTGGTAGGAAGGCTATAGAAAATTGATCCAACATTTTCTGACACTTTGAAGTTACTCCTTCAAGTCAGCTTTCAAAATACCACTCAGTTTATACAAGATATCTAACATGTGGCATGGAAGGACCTGGAGAGAATTATGCTAAGCAAAATAAGCCAAGCAGAGAAATACAAATATCACATGATCTCACTTATTTGTGAAATATAATGAACTAAACAAACAGATGAACAAAATTAACTCAGAGACATGGAGGTGTGGGGTATAGGATGACAAGCCTCGGTGGGGGGATGAGGGAAGAGATAAACCACAGAACTTACGTGCATGTATGTATGACCAATGAACATAGACAACAAAGCTGGGGATGGGGTGGGGGGAAGGGGAGGAGGGTGTCAGTGGGGGAAAATGAGAAACATCTGTAACAAAAACAAATTAATAAATAAAAAATGTTTTAAAATAATAAATAAATAAAAACTATCTAGCATGTATTCACATATGTGGTCATTGTTTTTGAAAAGCAGGCTATAGTGTCAATCCAAGTAAACAATGAATATATAGATGAAAATGTAGAAAATGAAAGGAAGACCGTCTTGGCACAGCCTCCTAAATTGAAGAATAGCCCAGTTCTTCTCAAAGAACTTGTAAAGGTAAAGTCATTCAGTGAAAGCATTGTCCTGTCAAGAATGTATTACTAATTAATTGGACCTCTATGGGATCTATGTATATTCTGGTAAAACAGATGGTATAAAGGAAAATACCTTTGTAAAACTGTTGACAGGTAGCAGTCCACAGGGGTCTGAGGTTATAGTTGTGGTTGACCCATCCTCAGTGTTTCAGTACATTATGATTTTTTAATGTTTTTAGATTTATTATGAGTGTCCAGTTGTAAAGGCTGTAAGAAATATTTCCCTTGTCATCAATAAGTCTGAATGCTTCGGATTAGTTGGACTAAATGGAGCTGGGAAAACCACTATATTGAAAATGTTAACTGGAGATGAAACAATAACCTCTGGAGTTGTGTTAATTGATGGCTTTAGCATCACTGAAAATATCAGAAAGGTATGTGTGGTCCTAATCATTGAGTTGGTGCCCCAAGGGAGGAGGAGGTAACCAGGTAAGTGGGTGGGGGATATGGAAGGGAAAAGGGAATCATTCATTCATATATATATATTCTGATAGAAAGAAGATAGATAAATAGATGATTAGATAGATAGATGATAGGTGATGATAGATAGATAGATTAGATAGATAGTTGATAGGATAGAGATGAGAAAGAGAGATTGCAGTTCTTTTTTTTTTTTAATCCTGACCTGAGGACATTAGAGTGGGAGGGAGAGAGGGAGGAAGAGAGAGAGAGAAACATTGATGTGAGAGAGAGACATCGACTGGTTGCCAAGACACGACCCCAACTGGGGCCAGGGACAAACTGCAAACAAGGTCCACACCCTTAGCGGGAACCAAACTGAGGACTCTCCAGTCCATGGGCCAACGCTCTAACCACTGAGCAAAACCGGCCAGGGCAAGATTGCAATTCTTTACTCAAACTTAACATACATGAGAGACAGTGATAGTCATGATAACAATGAGTTTGGGAAAAGGCAAATATTCTTTCTGGCTGAAACAAAATTATAAATATTGCAAATGGATCAAACTAGAAACACAAAATGCAGTTACTGCACTTAACTTGATGTAACATAATTCGAGTTTGATATAAAACAATGACTAGAAAATATAATTGTGAAGATATTAACAAATTAAAATTCACAGGGTTTAGTCTTTAATTTGGATGTAGGTTACAGGGAAAAGAAAGGAACCTAAGATGTTGACCATATTTCTATCTTGAACCAATGAATGTGTGACAGTTCCATTCACCAAGATAGTCAACACAGGAGCTGGTGTATTTGGAGGAACATAGGTTGAGTTTGAGATGTCAGTGAGATATCCAAATGGGAGAAGAGCCAATAAATAGTTGAAATCTATATTAGTGTATTGATATGGGGATATGAATTTAAGATTCATCAAAGTGCAAGTGAAATTTAAACACTGGAAACAGATGAGATAATCTAGTTGGGGTGTTATACTAATGAGAAGAACGATGTGGGCCAAATCCTGAGGACTATAAACATTTCTAAGTATAGAGAGAAAAAAATAACTAGAAAAGAAACTGGGGAGAATTAGTGAGTTAGGAGGATAATCTGGATGAAGTTTTATCACACAATCCACATAAAGAGAAAACTTCAAGAAGAACATGAAACAGAGCTGTCAGGCAACACAGGCCTGACTAGTGTCCACTGGGCATTACTGAGACCTAATGCAGCAGGTTGACAAGTTGACATGTGACTGGGGCAGGGACATGAGTGTGGGCCAGACTTAGAAGAAAGGCAGCTGTCAAACAAGAGGAGGAAAGAATGACACCCAGAGTTTAAGGAGATGGCAAGCCCAGAATTGTAATTTTTAGCAATCTGAGTATATTTATGTAAGTGAAAAAAAACAGTGAAAAGAAGTTTAAAATATATAGCACCATGAGCTAGCAGAGAAAAGAAGGTCTTCATTCAAGTGGACATTAAATAAAACAATATAGAAAGGTGTACAAGCAACACTCTCACTCCCTCTCATCTGCCTTTGCCTCATTCCTTCACAAGCCCACATGAAAAGTGATCATTTTTTCTTCATTGATTTCTTAGAAAGAGAGGGAGGGAGAGAGAGATAGAAACATTGATGAGAGAGAACATCCATTGGCTGCCTCCTGCATGCCCCTTATTGGGGATCAAGCCCACAACCCGGGCATGTGCCCTGAACGGAAACTGAACCGGCGATCTCTTGGTGCATGGGTCAACACTCAACCATTGAACCACACCAGTCAGGTGAAAAGTGACCATTTTTATCATGCTACAGTTTTATGTAACTATAACCAACTATAAAGATCTGTTTCCTACTTTGTTACACAAGAAGCAGTGAACTGTACACAATGTTCTGGACCAAACCGCTCTCCACATGTGGACTACACCAGCAGTGTTTGAGACACTGTGTTTCCCCATACTGTCCACAATAGAGCCTGTGGTCAGTCTTTTGGGTTTTTGCCAGTTTGGTAAGTTTTTAAAATGACATTTCAGTAGAGTTTTTATTTTTTTCTTACTATGAGTGAGGTTAGATAACTTTTTTTTTAAAAAATTAAAATTTAAGGTATACAACATGATAATTCATATGTATACACATAGTGAAATGATGATTATAATTAAGCTAATCAACATATGTTCTCCTCACAGTTACTATTTTATTTATGTGATGAAAGCACCCGAAATCTACTCTCCTGGCAAATTTCCACTGTTCAACACAGTATTAATAAATATAGTCATCATGCTGTATATGAGATCTCTGGGCTTACTCATCCTGCATAAATGCAATTTTGTACCCCATTGTTATTGGTGGATGTAGAGTGTCCACCAGTGGAAGTGGGTGATCTCTTTCCCCACTGAGTGCTGGGGGTCAGGTTCTTATGATAGCTTGAGGAAAAGAATTTTCTAAGACTCGCACAGAAGAATAAATTATCTTTATTTGCATGAAGCTATATCCCTCAGTTTCTAAAGTCCCAGGTCCCTTAAACCAGTCCTGGAAAATGTGCAGTTGGAGGTTCAGCAGAGCTAGAAGCAAAGCCAGTGTCAGAGTTTCCGTTCCCTGGTGGAGTTGAGTCCAGTATAGCATCAGGCTAATCACAGTGCATTATATTCCACTGTGTGGGGTCCACATGGCTGTGGGCCATGTGGCGAGTGCAGAGCTGTGAGAGCCCCACAAACCAGGAGTCAGGTGCCAGCAGGAAGAGAACAGGAAGGGGGAACTCCCTTTCTTCAGGGGCTTAAATATCAGATCTTCCCATGCTTGCAATGGCCACACCTATTCTTGCCAATTACTTGTTTTCAGGTGTGACTGACAGGAAAGCATCTTCCCATGTCACCTAGACCTTGCTGGGCTTGCACCTAAACTACTTCTGTCCAGTCCCTTCTCCCATCGGTCTCTAGGGAACCGACCTGGAGAAGGTTAAACTGCAGCTTCTTGGCAAAGTTGTATAAATGGCGTGCCTACTTCATCTGGCCATCCCTATACTCCTTTTCTGTTAGTAAATAACCAGGTTATTATAATGGTATCACTATTATCCAGATCCCTGGTGATCTACTGGCTAGGATACAACAGTATCACTATTGCCAGCATCTCCTCCCTTGTCTCCCCATCTCCAAGCTCCTGGTAATGACTACTCAACTCTCTGCTTTTATGTATTCAACTTTTCTATCTTCCACATAAACCTAAAATCATGCAAGGTTTTTTGTTTTTCATGCCTGGCTTCTCCTCTTTTTTTTTTTTTTTAAGATTTGCTATCATTGACATACATTTTTTGTTTGTTATTAATTTAAATATTATATTTTAATTACAGTTTACAGTCAATATTTTGTATTAGTTTCAAGTGCACAGCATAGAAGATAGACAATTATGTACTTAACAAAGTATCTCTTGGTTAATTCCAGTACGCACCTGGCACCATACATAATTATTACCTATTGTTGACTATAATCTATATGCTGCACTTTACATCCCCATGACTATTTTGAGGGGATTTTTTATTTTTTATTTTATTAATTCATTTTTGTTACAGGTTTTTCTCCTTTTACACCCATTGACACCTTCCTCCCAATCCCACCCCCACCCCCTCCAGCATTGCTGTCTATGTCCATTGGTTACACATAAATGCATATAAGTTCTCTGGTTTATCTCTTCCCTCCCCCCTATCCCCCTCTCCTGAGGTTTCTCAGTCTGTACCCTACTACTATATCTCTGGATCTGTTTTGTTCATCAGCTTATTGTGTTCATTATATTCCAAAAATAAGTGAAATCATGTGATATTTGTCTTTTTCTGATTGGCTTGTTTCAATTAGCATAATACTCTCCAGTTCCCTCCATGTCATCTCAAAGGATAAGAGATCTTTCTTTCTTACAGCTGAATAGCATTCCATTGTGTACATGTACCACACCTTTTTTATCCACTCGTTTACTGATGAACACTTGGGCTGTTTCCAGATCTTAGCAATTGTAAATAGTGCTGCTATGAACATAGGGCTACATATATTCTTTCTGATTGGTGTTTCAGGCTTTCTAGGATATATTACTAGAAGTCGGATCACTGGGACCAATGGCAGTTCAATTTTTAATTTTTTGAGGAAATACCACACTGTTTTCCTTAGTGGCTGCACCAGTCTGTATTCCCACGAGCAATGTACTAGATTCCCTTTTCTCTACACCCTCGCCAGCACTTGTTGTTTGATAAATTGATGATGGCAGCCATTCTGGCAGTTGTGAGGTGATACCTCATACTCATTTTAATTTACATCTCTCTGATGATTAGTGATGTTGAGCATTTTTTCATGTCTCTTGGCCATGTGTATGTCCTGTTTGAAGAGGTGTATATTTAGATCCTGTGCCCATTTTTTTGTTTCTTTGTTTTGTTGTTTTTGTTTTTTAGTTTAAAAGATTTTTAAACCTTTATTGTTGAATGTATTACAGATGTTCCTCATTTTTTCCCCCATGGACCCCCTCCTACCCACTCCCACCCCCCTCCCACCTTTCCCACACTGTTGTCTGTGTCCATTGGTTATACATATAAGTTCTTTGGTTTACTTCTTCCCACCCCCCAACCCCTTTCCCTTTGAGGTTTGTCAGTCTAGCAATAAATTTGTACTTCTTAATCCCTTCACCTTTTCACCCAACCCCCCTCCCGTCTGGCAACCAACAAAATGTTCTCTGTGTCTATGAGAATGTTTCTCTTCTGCCTGTTCATTTTGTTTGTAGATTCCATTGTCGATAGATATGTATTCATTGCATTTTGTTTGTTCATGTATTTTATCTTTTTCTTCAAAAAGACCCTTCAACATTTCATATAATAACGGTTTGGTGGTGATGAACTCCTTTAACTTTTTCTTGTCTGGGAAACTCTTTATATGGCCATTGATTCTAAATGATAGCTTTGGAAGATAGAGTAATCTTGCTTGTAGGTTCTTGCTTTTCATCACTCT